TAATTGCATATAAAACACCATTTCAAATCCTAATAAAAGCTTTCAGGCCAAAGAGGTCTCCTTAACCAATAAAAAAAAAAAAAAACAAATAATCATAATCACAGTAATTGCAAATTTAATACTAAAATAGTAATTGTTATAACCAATAAATTTTCTCATGTTAAAAATGACAAGGTGTAATTAAATTTTTTTTATTAATATTAATCTATTTGCTTTTTTTTAAAAAAATAAGTTTTATTCATTATGCATATTTTGAATATTAATAATATATATTAGTAAGTCACATACTGTGTATTGCCCAAATAGTAAGGTTTATAATAGTAATATATAATAAAAACTATAATAATTCAAATGTAAACTAACTCAACTCTAACTTTTATTGTGATTATTAACAAATTTTGTATGAAAATTTTTAACAGTAATTTATAATAGAAGCCACAATAATTTAATCAAAGACAACTTTAAAATGTATTATCTATTAATTAGTTTTGCATCCAAATTTTTTATAGTAATTCATAATAAAAATTACAGAAATTTTAATACAAGATAATTTATCTTTTGTTATTACTAAAATTGTGAGTTCTATACAAAATTGTTTCATTCATTATATGCATTTTAAATCTTTGAAATTAGATTAACTAAGATATCGCCAAAATAGTAAGGTTTATAATAGTAATATATAATAGAAACTATAATAATTTTAATGCAAACTAACTTAACCTTAGATAATTATTAGAATAGCGCACAAATTTTGTATAAGAAATTTTAACAGTAATTTATAATAGAAGCTACAATAAATTAAGCAAAGAAAACCTTAAAATATATTATTTATTGATTAGGTTTGTAACTATATTTTTATAGTAATTCATAACAGAAATTACAGAAATTTTAATATAAAATAATTTATTTTTTTATCATTACTAAAATAATGAGTTCTTTAGCAGAATTTTTAAAAACCATGCTTCATTTATTATGCGTATTTTGAATCTTTAAAATTAGATTAACTAAAATATAGATAATATTAATAACATATCATATAATATATATAACCAAAAAAGTAAAGTTTATAATAGTAATATATGAGATGTTAGTAGGCTTCCACATAGGCCGGGTAGGGCCAGATACTAGTGACTACCTGTTTGTATACAGGTTAATTTATCTGAGCCCTACTCTACCCTAGGGCTCAGATCTTAGTACTCATACCCAGCCCATTAGGCTTTGGATACCCTTCAAACTACCTATGAGTTCTGTCAAAAATATAATTTGGTTTATACTTACGGATTCAATTCTTTATTTTTTATAGTATTATAATTTTCATATACACTTTAATTAAACTATATATAATAAAAAAGCCATGCTGTATATAAATAAGAAAACACTTTAGCTTAAATTAAAATCTTAAAGTCAAGAAATCTAAACGATAGTAAAAAAAAGAAAGCAAATATAATTTACACATTCTTCACATTTATGTTAAAGAATTTGATTATATGTTATTAAATTTTCGTTTCTTTTTTAATCCAATAAACTTTACTATTGCATAATGACAAGAAAATTTAAAAGTTGTACCAAATTCAATCTTGTATGAATTATTACATTATTCTAGAAAATTAAGTTGCATGCTACTGAAAGAATCATGAAATTTCTAAGTAAAAGCATAAGAAGCTTTAGTATAATTTGTTAGAAATATCTTTTACACAGTTACAATAAGGTTTAAAAGTTGTACAAGAAAACATAGCATATAAAGTATGTTCCAAGATAATGATTTTTGATCATTATTGTTTTTTTATTTCATTATTATCTTCTTGATTCATTTTATCTAACCAATGAGAGATAATTTCAATAATTTCTGTTGCTGTAGGTCGTTTATAAAAAATAAATATTATTAGTTGATATACATATTATCAAATCGATTGAATAGTTTATTTTAGAACTCACTTATTGTTTAAGGGAAGACAATATGCAGAAGGATCTGTTTGCACATATGATAATCAATGTATTTCTTACTGTTTGTATTCATTTTAAAGTCAATCATCACATGTGCGGTCTATATCCTGATGCCATTATTGTTCAAATTATAATTGTATAAAATAATAACCAAAGCAAAGCAAATTTATTTGCTATTTTTATTATTCATATTTATACTTAAATTTGAAAAAAATCAAACTTGCAATTTTTTTTTTTTCTTACTAATTTGTGAAATTTTATTAATTTTGCTATCTATATTTAAAGAAAAAAAAAAAAAAGCTTAACCAAGCTAGATAAAAAAAAAAAATTATTAATTGACAAATTTATAAATCCCAACAAAATTTATCTGCCATATTTAACCAATTTCTTTGGCACATTAATGCAACTATTGTATCTGGGTCTAATAAAGTACGCCTATAATCGATAATATGACCTGCATAGCTAAACATCTGTTCTGATGCAATGCTTAAAGCAGGTATAGCAAGAAAATCCCGAGCTATTGCCAACAGATTAGGAAGTCTCTCTTTATTCAAGTATGTTGGTAGTTTTCTGAGTAATCAGTTTATCTAAATACCATTTTACTTCACCAAGTGAATCTTTTTTGCTTACTCAAGTCTGCTTTGCAGCATATTTAAAGAAATCATCGACATGGTTTTCAAAGATCGATATATCATTTTCAATGTTACTAGCAATTTCATTATTATGATCAATAGTTGAGGAATATGTATGAAGATATATATCTTCAAATCTAATTTTAATAATATTAGAAATAAAAATGAAAATAAATATATGAATATATATAATATTTAATTAATAAATATTTATACTTCATTCAAATGTCCTGTAATTTTTCATCAAGATCACATGGTGTCAATTTTTCCTTTTCACAGTAATAGTATAAAATAAATTGCATTTTGTAATGAGGATCCAGAATATATGCGATCATATATAAGAAGCTACTATGTTCCCAATACTTATTAAATTTTTTAATCATGACCTGACTGATATCGTGAATAAAGCTGGCTGAATGAGATTTCATACTTATAAGATGAGTGCGAATATTTCAAACTGAAGCAAGGGAATTGTTAAGAGTTGGATATAAATTTGCTAACACTTTCAAAGTATCTATTTTTATTTAAAAAATTTTAAAAATTAATCTAGTTATTCATATTAGATTATATAAACCTTTTCTTAATTTAATACAATAATTATATTCTTTTTTAAATTAATACATACATTTATAAAAGGGTCTTAATATATTTGTAATAGCCTCTGCATTTTTCTATTTCTCATCATTAGGTATACTAGGAAATGTTTTATCTCAGTCTTTCATTCTAAGAATCACATTTGTAACTTGTGCAGCTGATTGTAATATTAGAAACATTGAGTATCACAATCTAACAATGGAACTACAGGTTTTAAAAATTCAGATTTACAGATATCCAAAAACATTTGATGCCTTCTTGGTGATGAATGTATTGCTTTAATGCAACTATGAATCTAAACAAATTTAATAAGAGTATTATATATTACTATTTGCCAACTATTACAGTATATTATACTGAATAAAAATCAATATTAATTTTTAATTAAGTGTATAATTATCTTTCTAATAACTTCAGCAATTTTTTTTAGACATCTTTCACGATGAGGTTTAGGATATGGGCAAGGCACCAGTTATAAAAAAGCTCCTTATTGATTTGTATATAAGAGTCTTGGGAAATAAAATTAGCTAATTCATAAATCGCAACATTATTTGATGCAGCATTGTCAAGAGTAATAGTTTGCAACTATAATTAAAGTCATTAATATTTAAGTTAAAATGTTCAGACTTATACAATTTCAGAGAGTTTTCATTGTTTGAACAATGAAAAATCCTCGAAATCACATAAGTCTGAATATTCTAATATAAGTATGAAAATATAAATTACTTTTTAACTACCTTAGTGGTAATAAACCATTCATCTATTTCTGCTTTAATGCAATTGGCGACATTAATCCCAGTATGTGGGTAAGAAATTAATGAAAATGATAATAACATTGAAATAAAATTCCTGTTTTTATCAAAAAAATGTGCTGTAACTGACAAGTATTCAAGTTGCTGAAGAGACATCCAGCTATCACAAGTAAGAAAAATTTTACTCTCAGCATTTTGAAGAATTTCTTTAATCAATATTTTTTTTCTATTATAAGTTTTTATAATATCTGCTTTATTGTATTAGTGTTAATACTAAAATCAGGTAATAGTCCATCAATAAGCTTACGAAAGCCCTGCCTTCTATAAACTGGAAACTTAACTCATCCAAAACTACTATATTGGCAATATCTTTTCTAGTTGACTCTTTTGTATATAGTCTTTTTTTTTGTTTGAGTATTAAATCTTAACTGACTTTGACTATCAGATGAATTTGGTTTCGAACTATTATTATAATATAAGAACCTTTGGTACTTAATATTCGATCGTGATGTCACACCTAATTTTTTATCATATGATTTTCATAAATTACACAAATTGACAAAATCATGTTTTTAAAATTTTCTTCTCAAGTCTTAGTTATAACACATAATGTTTCTTAAGACAAATAAGTTGCCAAGGCTTCAACGAATCAAACGGTATAAAGAATATGAAAAACCAACATCTTCTGATAATGTGCAACCTCCTCAAAGATAAGCAATTATTTTGTCTTCTCTCACATGATTCTTTTGGAGTTTTCTGGATCTTGAAGTGAATAATAGCTTGTTAGATGCGCATGAGTGAGGACTTTTAGTGAAATGCATCTTCAAAAAGTTGTTATATTAAAAACATTGTGTCAAAAATTAAGAAAAACTGTTTTATAGTATATAGATTATAAATTTACTCATTACAATTTTTTTTTTTCTTTAATATAGTAGAAAAATATTGCAAGTTTATAATAAAAAATATTTAAAGTAAAATTGTAATTTATTTCTATTATTTTATTTATATTTTTGTTATATTCCAATTTTCTTGACTGACAATACTTAATAAAAATTATTTTGAGTTATTTAGGTCCTAATCTCAGAAAATATTTTTTTAGTTCTGATTAACTCACTAAACACTTCAAAGAACTATGTTAACAACAAGCTTATTTTACAGATGATTACTTTACAAAAAGTTTATTTTATAGACAGTATATTTAATCGATAGCTCATTTCACAGACGAAGTAATTTTTGGTTTCTTCGTTATAATTAGGGTAGAAGGCATGGTAAATTTTTTGGACATGCCCCTCGAGGCATGCCTCAAACTGAAGCATGCCTCACTTATTGTGACTTGGGCATGCCCCTAGTATATAAATCACATGACAAGTTTTACTTATTTTATATGATATTCAAAGGTATTATGCAAAATA